GTGAAGTGTCAGGTGTCGTTAGACAACTGCACTGCACAATCCCTTCATTTTTCAAATGGATGCTAAGTTGTACAAGATGCTCCACCAACATTTAGAGCTTAGAATAAAACCGTTCACGTGACTTTATGGATTTATGGTTGTTAATCTAGGTATAGGTTTGTACTTCATGCGTAAATGTACAAAGAGATCAAACCGAACAGAGTCAGAAGTTAGTGTAAGGTTTAGAACTAGTATTTATAGAATCTATCTTTTTTTTCAAAAAGATTCAAAGAACTGAAATAGATCTGGAGCCAGTAGCTGTGTAACCATCCCATAATAAAAACCCCTTTGTTTTCATGCAGGTACATTACATATTTATTGTTTTTTTTATTCATTTTTAATTTAATATAGTTTTCCAAAAAAAATTCCCTAACATCATTTTCAAAATTCATCGAGAGGGCCGGATTGAACACCCTAGCGGGCCGGTTTTGGCCCGTGGGCCGTATGTTTGACACCGTATGTTTGACATCCTTGGTGCGACATAACTTAACTAGTTCCCGTCTGAACTAATTGGCGAGTTTTACCCCCGGTCGTCGGATTGATGATGTTGATACATTTATAGGCGATGGCGTCATAACCATGAAACGAAGGACATGCTGTAGCTATACCTAAACTTTTAGCTGAAACAGTACTAGCCAAAAATTATCGAATCGTAGTTCAAGATTTGCACATATGTAGAAGAAAACAAAAAAGATAAAGGTAGCCTTCCTTTAACAAACGTTTGTCGAAAAAAACAAAAATAGCTTAAAAGTGATCAAAACATGAAGTAACAGTTATAATATGAAGGACGAGCTAGCCCACAGCAAAATATGCTAATTATTAGTAAACAACTGTGTAAATGGTACAAGAAAATTAGGCCAGTAAGATTTTTAGAGAATTTTCCAGACTTTCTCTAACAGACATTTTATTCGTGAATTTGAACTCGTTGATGTGTGCAGGTGTGAGATTAGTCACTGACGTTTTATACTGGTGTGAAAATCAGTTGGACTGGAACACAGGTGCAGCATCACCGCAGATTCATACCAGAAAACAGACAGATGTGAACATGAGAACAGCAGCTGGAGCGTCACAGCCAGTGTTGGTTTGTTAGCCTGTCATTCACAGCCTCACCTTCACTTTCTGTCGTCCACACATCTCGTCTTTTCTCCCTTCGTCCTCTGTCGCTTCCTCTTCATGCTGCAAATGATGATTTACATCTGCAATTTGTTAATTGACCAGCAGTTTTAAAGCTTTTTTTTTCACACTGGAGTGGCTTTTTCATGCAACGAAGGACGATAAAATATTAATCACATAGATGCATCCTGTACAGCCGCTCCACACGGGGTGAGGGCTGTGAAACCTTCGTGCAAACATCAGCATGAAATCCAGCATCCATGTTCGGTTCTGAGGTATGAGCATCGTTAGGTGTTTGGTTTTTTTTTACCACGGCTTTTTTTTTTTCCTGCAACGCACGTTAAATTCAGGGGTAAAAACAGCGCAAACATATGGAGACATTTGTGCAGAGACCGTGAGGAGGTTTTATTTAGCAGAGGGAAAGTAACAGTGAGTGGAGATGTGTGACCTACATTCAGCAGCTCCCAACACGTTTGTTCTGCTCAGAAGTTGCATCAACTCTGATTCTCTCTCTCTCTCTCTCTCCCTCTCTCTCCCCTTTGGCATTTTTCCAGCTCTGTCTTTCAACTCCTTCACGTCTCCTCTCCGTCCTCCTCTGTCTTACAAGACTGTAAATCAAGCAGGTGAAGGTTAATTGTGTAAATTGCATCCCGGTCAGTGTAGAGGCAGCATTTACAAGAAAGTGTTTGCTTACCGGAGATAGAGGTGATGCTGAGCATGCTGGGAAATATGACCAAAACACTGACCTTGATAAGTGACAGTTATTTCTGCTTCTACTTTCTGTGTTTGTGCTAACTGTGTTCTTTTTTTTTTTTGTGCTAACATTAACAAGTATATTTTTGTTAGCACTGTAGTCACACTGTTACTTTTTTGCTCTTTTGATGAAATTTACAGTGGTGATTAGCAGAGCCACAGACTTAAAAAAGACTCAATATTCAATATATTATAATCATTTTTCAATATTTTAGGTATTGTTTTGTTTAGTGACCTTTAGCCACTTTGTGGATACCTTGAAACTATGTATCTTTTCTAACTCAACAGTATTTTGTTTGCTAACATTGTCTTATATATATTAAATTATTAATATAGTGTTGTTTACCAGGTTAACTAGTAGCTGTTCTCTAGGTTCATTTTTCAGTCTGATTTGGTTAACTTTTAACATTTTGTCCTGTGCTCAATCTAAGCTAACTTAGCTAAAAGAATTATCATTAGCTAAAAACTTTTAACTTAATTTTATAAAAAAATATATTTATAAAAGTTTAAGAAACTTATAATTAAAATTTTGTTGTATTTTAAAATATAATATCTAATTTTTTGTTGTACTATAGCTATTTTTCTAACTTTGACGTTTTTCTGATCGTTTTGAGCTTTTATCATTTTTGCCAACGGGTAATGATTTTTGGCTAACTTTCAGCTTTTTTCAAATTGCACAAACCTCTGGCTCTGAACATCACTTCGCAGCATTTGCTAAAGCTTGCAGAAAAGATGTTGTTTCCATG